CCAGTGATTGACCTCAATCCCTCCTATTCTTCCAATATCCTGATGAAAAATAAAATCTCTCTGTTGCATAGGCCACTGTTTGATCAACGCGAATTGGGTGTGGGTCCTTGTACTCCGAGTCGGGCTAACGTCCACGCTAGCTTCCACGCTAGCTGCTATATGTTTTGCATTGAGGTGATACTTGAGGCTTGATGTGCTGCGGTGATATGCAAATTCCTTTTTGCATAATTTGCAAACAACCGTGCTCTTATCGATGCTTCCATCCGTCCGTTTTTTAAAACAAAATGTCCCATCCACGGGGCCAACCAAAGCGGTCTCATCAGCTTCTTCGTTCACGTTTGACTATTGTTCACTGTGGTTTGTTGTTGTTTGAAGTCATGAACGTTAGTTGGTGCTCCAGTATAATCGGTACCCCTGAAACTCATCCAGTGAGAAACGTTCCGCGGTGCAAAAATAAGTGCGATTAAAATGCGTTAATTTTTGTGTAATTAATTAATCTTCATTAACGCGTTAAAGTCCCGGCCCTAATAAAAACACAAACGTGCAAATGAAGAAACCTCTTCAACAACTTCACTTAACACGTGCAGCTTTTGGAAAACAATCACCAACTTGACGAAACATGTGCAACGTTTACTAAAAGCGCTTCATAAACTAAACGCTGAAAGAAGCCCGAAAACATTATGGGAACAGGGACACTAAAAAGTGATGCACGGCACGCGCTTGTTGACCTTCGGGGATATAACTGCCACTGTTGGCAGAGATAGTCTGTTTCATAATTGGAATTGATTTGTCAGTATTTCTGAAATGACTAGGTTCGCTACGTTAGCTAGCTAGCTAGCTTTCAGTAGATCTGCAATAATATCGGAAAGAATCTTTCAATCATATTGTTAAAATAAGCCAATAAAATGTACACTTTATGTACATGTCCAGTGACAGTTGGCCAACTTTATCAACCCCAAACATCAACAAGCGCTGCAGTTCCAAAACACAACTTACTCATGAACTGCAGGAGAACTGGTTTACAGTAAGTTTTTTTCTTTCTTACTCAGTAAGCGACAAGCCTTTAGCAGCAATTTGGGGTTAGGTATCTTGCCCGAGGATACTTTAACATGTTGACTATATATTGTGGTTAGAAAAGGTTGTCAAATAAACTGCTGTTCCACTGGAGCCACGTTTTATTGCGGTTTGAATAGAGAGTTAGGAAGTACTTTCACCCGCTGTTATAGTCCCTAATTAATGATATCCTCAATGATCCCCAATTTAAAAATGGAAGAGTCTTGGATAGTTGTATGATGTCTTTGAAATATTTCAATTCATGTCATTTCAGCAAATCAGAGCTGCAGTCAATTCGTACACTTTGATGTTCAAACTCGTCCCACAATTTGTCTTAATGGATTTATTATTAGATTTCTAGAAAATATGCACTCCATATTTCTCTCTTTCTCTCAGATTAAGATTCAAAAAGCTATATTGGCATTTCCATTATGCTAAAGCAATGTACCAAAAATTACAAATACAACCAGCATCCTTGCTTAAGCATATCATTTGGAAAATCTTGTGTTTTAATGCATTTAGAACAAAAAAAGCAGAATTACCGTGTGTTTTTCACAGGGAAAACATTGTACTTTTGAAAATGACCTCGAAAATCGAACTAAAAACATACATTTCAGCAACTTTCCTTAAACCTGCCCCCGCTTTCCAAAAAAAGAACAGCAGGAATAATTGATTATTGTGCAGTACAACTGATAATATATACATGGAAAAAAAAGAGGCTTGAGATGTGAGATCTTCCCCTGTCCCTCTTTCCTCTCCTGGTGGCTGTGGTTCATGTGTTGCAGTGGGCTCATCCATCAGGACTTTATTGGCATCGCAGCCTCCTTACTGCTGCTACTGGCAAGAAGCCTGCCTTCCTGCGATAAAGCTGAAGTTTCCTTTTGACACTGTGTGTGTGTGTGTGTGTGTGTGTGTGTGTGTGTGTGTGTGTGTGTGTGTGTGTGTGTGTGTGTGTGTGTGTGTGTGTGTGTGTGTGTGTGTGTGTGTGTGTGTGTGTGTGTGTGTGTGTGTGTGTGTGTGTGTGTGTACACAGACCTCTTCAGCCTGTTTGCCAGTGATCTGGGTGGATATGCTGCCAGGGAAGATATAGAAGCAGTCCTGCAGGTCCTGGATGGAGAAATCCCAACCTCCCTCAAGAAGTATTTCAGTGAGGTAGGCCAATATAGCAGCCTGTCCATCACCAAACGGATATGAATAATTATAGTGGAATAGAAGCAGTCGCAATATGTTTTATTTTAAAGTTATAAATCCAGACAAAATGAGAATTAATTCACAAAAACAAGTAGGAACACACTTGTGATGATTTTCCACAAATGTTTTGTCTCGGAACATTTACATTTTGTGAAATATATGTCCGTAATAAGGAGTTTTTTTTTCTGGGGCACAACACAGTTGTCTTGCTATAGTGAGAACTTTATTATTTATTTTTATTTTATTTTGTTATTTAGGCATGTGTTTGTTTTTGTATCTATTCATTGATATTTGTTTCTGTATTTAATTTATTTTATAAATGTTGTTAATACTTTCTCATTTTCCGTCATCTGTAGCCTTGTAAAAGTGTTTATCAGTGCACAAACATTACATTTTTGCCAATTCGAATGGTGTCTATAAAAGTAACCAAGTTTTCACTTGATTTATTATCTCAGAAATCCTTTTCCTGACAAGTTTATGCTCTTAATTTCTCAAACATCTGCCTTCTACTACAACTTCTAACAATAGATAGATACAAATCTCATACCTGGTCCCATCAACATTAAAAAGCCTGTTTCAAATGCAACAAGACATGAACACATATAGAAGGTTGCATATTGATACAGACTTTTGACAGATGCAGATCATCTTTTACTTTTGACACACCAACAGATGAATTGTGTGTGTTGTGTTGTGTTGTGGCAGGGTGACAAGGTGAGCTATGAGCGCTTCAGGATCTGGCTCCTGCAGAACAAGGAGGCCTTCACTTTATCCAGATGGCTCCTGTCCGGAGGAGTGTGTGTCACGCTCACAGACGACAGTGACACCCCCACGTTCTACCAGACCCTGGCCGGAGTCACACATTGTAAGTCCAAAAAACACTCTGAATCAGTGTGTTACTTTGCATCTCCATATAAGGCCAAGGGGATTTAGTGTCAAATGTACCTATGCTATTCCATATAAATACAAAATGGAAATTCAGAAAATGGACAGTCACTGATAAACGCTTGGCATACCTGTTATTAGGCTGTACGATTTGTTAAACAAGAACATATCGTCATTATTTTGACCGGTATGGCAGTTGTGCTATGATTTAAAATTAGGGCTGTCAAACGATTACAATTTTTAATCAGATTAATCACAGCTTAAAAATTAATTAATCATGATTAATCACCATTCGAACTATGTCCAAAATATGCCATTTATTTTATTTTATATTGTTGTGGGAATGGAAAGATAAATGAAAGAAGGCGGATATATCCATTTAACATACAGTATGTATGTTTATTATAACATTTTTCTGTGTGTCAAAATGAAAGACAGCCCACACACCTATCAATCATCAAACCGTGGGGTCTTAATTCATTACGTGTTGATTTCAACGGGGGAGTACTTCAGGAAAGTCGACGGGGGGACAGGGGGGGCTAGTGGAGTACTTATTGACCATAGAGCGTGACCGTTGTGATCAGCTGTTTTAGCGCAGTTCTCCAGTGAAGGGGGGGGAGTCTCCCTCCGCTGCCGGTCGGCGTAGTTTTGGCACAATTCCGTTGTACAGACCTACGTTAACAGCAGCCCTGTCTGTGCACACGGTGACCGACTGTCGTCCGGCGATCTAACCGCCTTCTGGAAAAGCTTCACAAGTACGTCGGTACGCAAATGCGCTTTGTGACACAAGTGACGGTACGCATTTCAGATTACGCACATAACCTGCGTACCAGTTATGTTCACCCATGTACTACAGCAAAAGTATTCTCCGTCGGGACTTCCTGCAAAAACACCACGCCGTTATCTTGATTCTGATTGGCCAGAAGACATTATCAAAGATGTTCTATTGAGAAGACGATCACTACGTGACAAAAGTTTTCAAAACCGTTTCTGGTCTTCGGTATTTCCAGACAAGTGGCTACTGAAATCAATCTTACTAACTGCTGTCTGTGCAATTCTCGGCGCGAGTTGGCGGACTTTATTTTGCTTACTTTAACATCATTTTTCATGGTGGGGCTAAGCCATTTCTTGGTATGGGTGTAGCCTACCCCAGCCATACCCTGGCGCTGCCACTGGTGGGATGTATGGGGCGGGCCATTCTACACATGCGTTAAATATTTTAACGCCGTTAACGCGATAATTTTGACAGCATTATTTAAAATATAAAAAGGATTGAATGATTTTATATCATAACTAGCATTAGCATTTCTGTACAAAACACATATTATTTGTCACATGTTTAGCCTCTAACAATTATTGTGCTTCATGTAATTTGAATACTGCACTAGTCCATATTGCGATTTTGATACAATTGTAAATATTGTACAGCCCTACCTGTAATTAATGTAAAAAATAATTATTGTGAACCTATCCTGTAATCGAAGTCAACAAAACCCAAACATTTTTGCAGTTCAAATTATTTGCAGTTGCTTTTAGTGAGTGATACATATCTGCAATAGTGTTGAGTCTTGTTTAGTGGCTTAAACAAAGTATGTACCATATGTATTAATAATTATAGACAGCAGTAGCTTGTGAAACTAAGAGCAGAATGGTGATGGCTCTGTTGTTATACTGGGGGAATTATTGCTGTGGAAATTGTTATGTTATTGAGTTATTCTGATCCCACACATTGAGATAGAGAGGTTTTAAACTTGGGAAAAAGAGAGCACTATTGTCAGATACTTGCTATTAGCAGATGTGAATGACCAAATAGGTATATTGGGAGATCAAAGGTAAGTCTTTGCATCTGTACTCTAGTTTTGTATTTTATATAAAAATAATTAGAATTAATTGAAAAAAATCAAACAATACCAAGCTCCAGAAATGATATGGTTTTAGGTTGCACATATCATTACCTTAAAAAATGTTTTCAGTTTTTCTAATAAGAAATTATATATTTGAATTTAGTCTTTCACAATCTTGGTATTTTTGTTCGATTTTGTATGAAAAAATGTGTAGTTTCAAAAGAAGTTCTATTCAGCAGGGTTATACATCAACATTTACGTCTTTGTGATACCATAACCTTTAAAGATGGTAAATGACGAAAAAATAAAATGTAGTTATACAGTTCTTTTAAGTTGCATACCGTGTAAATTTAGCCAGGCTTTATCTTGCCAATTAAGGGCAGAGGGCTGGAAAAAACCTGTCTTGTCCGGAGAACCTGGACGCCTTCTTTAATCTGCCTGCTCCTTCTTTATCCTCTTAACGTGTGTGTGTGTGTGTGTGTGTGTGTGTGTGTGTGTGTGTGTGTGTGTGTGTGTGTGTGTGTGTGTGTGTGTGTGTGTGTGTGTGTGTGTGTGTGTGTGTGTTGGGGAGAGAGTGCTGGGGAGAGAGTGACACACTCCTGGTTCTAGCAGAGTAACTCATGACAGAGCGTGGATCCTTTGCTAGCATGTCACAATATTATGAGTGTAAATGCGCTGGAGTACTGTAGCGGCCTTCAGGGCAGGATGTCGTAGTTTCTGTGAGCATTTGTCTCGGGGCAGTTTGCTATGGTTCACGCTGGCTGTGGCAGCACCTGTCTAAGGATGTTCCCTGGATAATGGTATGGTATCTCTGCTGTCACTCGGAGAGAGTCACACCTCTAGGTGGGTATCAGGCCGACACGGCACCTGTCATAGAGACAGATTAGAATCAGTAAATAGAGAGAATAATTAGTGTACAGTATTGTTGTATAATGTCGATAGCTTGTTACATTTGTTCATTGTCACTGCTGGAAGAACTTCTTTTGAGATCTGAGTCCAACAGCACTAGTTTTTAAATCTTTCAATTGAAATTCATCCCTACTCGTGAGTCATATTGCTGTTTTCAAGAAATCCATATTAGCAGTGTTAGTATAAACAAACACTCTGATGATATGCTGGTCTTATGTATCCTGAGGTTGGCCGTACTGCAAGATGTTGGGCTTATTTCCTACTACGCATTTAAGATCCTTCAACATTTGCCAGAGCAAACAGCTAAACTCCAATTTGAATTCTGCCATCATAACAAAGATTCTAAATCCCACAAAGAAAGACTCGGTATAACCTCGAGTGCTACACTGATGTTTGTAGAAGCAGGGAGCAACCCTGAGAGGGAGATGAGCAGGAGGCGATCCATATTCCGGGTAATGAGTTTTATGGATTAGCAGTCGGATGGTTGAACAGCTTTGAATGAATAATGTTAAGCATGACAAACACAAGAATGTATTTTCCTTCTTGCCAGTCCTAATTATTTATGTTTTAACAAAAGAAACAGACATGTTTTCTACATTTCACTTATGTTCAGAGCTAGATCGATGTGCTTTTTATAATCCTAACTTTGTTGTTTGGGACCACCATGCATTGTTTTATGATTATTACCTAGGAAGTGTTCTGTCCTGTTTTTGTTGAGTAAGTTTCACCTTTGAGAAAGGAAAGGTAGTCATGCCTTGCTTAGACCGTATAACGCTTAATTATTTATAAATCCCATGTATTTTCCTACATGCCAGCTCCATTTAGCCCCCTTTATGTTCCAAATCATTGATTTTGAACACGGTGCTTCCTTTTAGTCTGTTAAAGTTGAAATATCTTGGACAGGAAGCAGAATTGAACATGACAGTCAAAAGAGGATTGATCGCTTCTTTAGCAGCGAGCAATCCCCCCCTCCCCCCAACGAGATTGAAACACCTCTCTCTGGCAGTCTGTTCACCAACAGCCAATCACAGCTTACATCATCGCATTTGACTGGAACTGTGACCAATAGCTGCTAAAAACAAGCTTTGAAGAACGTTTTTATGGCCTGACTTGGAAGCCACAATCCAATTTCTACCAGGAAACGATTGCTATCTATGTGTCTGTGTTTTGACACCTGTCATATGTTTTGGATCCATGCCAAAGGCTAGCTTGCTAGCTGCCAAATCCTATTAGCTTAAGCTGTGGATAAGCATGTTGTAAGACAGAGGCTGGTTCATTGACCCTGGCAGAGCTTCATATGCTATATTGGTCTGATCTGTATCACTTTTTTGTAGTCGAGTCAAATTTCGTTAAACCCACTGACCATTACCTCATCCCAATTTAACTCTGCTCCTCTCTGTCACAACATGTGTTATGACCTTGTGTATCTTTTAACTGGGTTGTTTCCATAATGGCAGTATGAGACAATTATTTTACGCATCTATTACTTTATCTTTGGTTTCTTCGATTTGTGGTTTGGTTTTTTAAATAAGTGAATGAAGCTTATATCCTAGTGCTTCACACTGCTTGTTTGGTATGACCAACATTTTAAAACCTGATCTATATTAGCAAATATTCACATTCGAAAAGCTGCTACCAGATTATTTCAGCTAAAAAGTCAATTTAGATGCCTTAGATCTACGTGCAAATCCAATAAATCATGGTTCTGTAGCCCAAGTTTCTAGCTTGGTTAAGCAGTTTTCTCTACATCCTTTACCTATTTTAGGACAACACAAACATATTATATGATATTTTATCTTAAAAACACCAGATGTAGCCTTTTGTCAGCCGACTAATGTTAGGCTTCAAATAGTTTGACACAAATTGATTTATTAAAACAATAAGAGAAATGTAAAATACAGTCTTAGTTGGAAAGCATTTAGGTTATGATGTTGCTTAAGTTATTTACTTGCTTTTAGTAAAATTGTCTGATTTTAACGTTTCTGTTTAAAGTTGTTATAAACTGAAAATTGCGGTTTTGGTTGGACGAAAAAAAAATACTTCTTGTATCTACCTACTGTATCGTGCAATGTACAGCTTTCTACACTAACTATATTTGTTATTAACACAGTTTACAGAGCCTTCTCTCTCACTACAAAAACTCACTTTTTCCCCTAAATCATGAACCACACACCTTATGTTTTTATTTTTAGCACTGCAGTGTTGTATATATTTATTCCATGGACACGTGTGTTATATTCCTTTCCTTTACTGGTTACCTATTGTTTGTGTGTGTAAAACTATGCTGGTATGATAAAGATGTTGATATCCAATATAACCACCAACGAATGTTGTTCAATTGGTATGGGTAACACCAAAGAAGTTCAAACCTAAAGCTTAACACAGCTTTAAGCTAAGGTAATGAATACAGAAATGACACTTCCCATTGTTCTTCCTATACTAAACAACTATATCCCTATGAACAGTTTTGCCATGCTTGTATTTTTGACTTTGTCTCTTCTGTTTCCTATCGTGCAGTGGAGGAGTCAGACATTATAGACTTGGAGAAACGCTACTGGCTACTGAAAGCTCAGTCCAGAACCGGCCGCTTTGACTTGGAAACCTTTGTCCCACTGGTCTCTCCTCCTATCCATGCCTCACTGAGTGAAGGTAAGACAATATTCACCTATGTTTTTTGTAAGTCTCATAGGGGTGTCAAGTTCATACACGTACCTCTATACATTAGATCATCATGGAGCTATTCAGGTCTTTAAACTAATCCCTCAGCAGAGATTAAACTCTCTACACTTTCACTTTTTATTTGGATCCCTATTAGCATTAGCATTGGCTATTCTTCGTGGACTCTATACGGTCAAACACACATTTACTCACCATTGCCATGGTTACACAACTACTATAAACAAACAACTGATCTCATGTACAGTAATCAACAATCAAGGATGGAAGTGAAAGACAATAATCATAAATAATTATTAACAATCCATCAATTATTAGTAACACACTTCTACCGCAAATAAAAACTAGTTTATAACAAACTTATTCCTCGTCGGGAATAACCTTAAAGGGGCCCTATTATGCTAATGTTCAGGTTAATATTTGTATTTTGTGCCTCTACTGTGAAGTGTCTCCATGCTTTAATGTTCAAAAAGCTCTTTATTTCTCATACTGCCTGTGCTGCAGCACCTCTTTTCACCCTCTGTCTGAAACCAGAGCCCAGTCTGCTAGGATTGGTTAGCTGGCCGGCTCTGTTGTGATAATGTGTTGGAGCGCTAGCCAATAGAAGCGAGAGTGTCTCATAAGTCTTCACTATGTTACATAAGTTAACAAAAGAGAAAGATAAAACACTTACAGCATTCAAGTACATTAAACATGTCACAGTAGAGGCCCAAAACACAAATATGAGCTTGAAAATGTGTTAATAAGGCCTAGAAATAAAACATTTAATATTGCAAAAATGTAATCAAATTCTCTGCCATGGGTGATTTCTACTGTCACCCTTGTTAACATGTTGTTTCTTACACCATAACTCATAGATAATATTATACATACACACAGACAGATTTCAGTTATAATTTCTGAAATGAAGATATTGTTTTAACAAAAGTTAGAAGCGATCTCTAGTATTCTCTTGAACAATATGTAATGAATTCCAACTGACTATGGCTCTGTACATGTTTAGATCTTTTTCTGTATCTTCAAAGACCTGCTCTGTGTAAATACTCTTTGTGTTTTAATCTTGTTTTCCAGGCTTGTTTCACGCCTTTGATGAGAATCGGGACAATCACATCGACTTTAAAGAGATATCATGCGGACTCTCTGCGTGCTGCAGGGGGCCCGTAGCTGAAAGGCAGAAATGTAAGCCATCATAGAATTGCACTTCACATGACCTTACAGAGCTTTTTCATCAAAAGGAGTGCAAAATATTTCTTTTTTATTGCTGTTATCTGGAATTTTGAAGGTGTTTTTGAAGTGTGCATCAATAACAATCATTTTTGTGATTGGAGTTTCAATTGGTCAGAAATGGATATTAATTGTAATTTCTGTACTAAACAGCACAATATTTGCTTCCCGGCAGTACTGTGTTTAATAACTTTATTTGTATTCCACCACTCCATCCCTCTCTTTCACTACCAGTTTGCTTCAAAGTGTTTGATGTGGACCGTGATGGGGTTCTGTCTCGAGATGAACTTCATGAAATGGTGGTGGCCTTGCTGGAGGTCTGGAAGGACAATCGCACTGACACACTCCCTGTACGTATGCACACAAACACGTACACGTACACACACACACACACCAGGGTTCGTACGGGTGCTGTAAATCCTTGAAAATGCTTGAAATTCTACGAGGTGTTTTCAAGGTTTGAAAAGTGCTTGAATTTTGGGAATGGTGCTTGAATTTGGGAAAAAGTGCTTGAAATTGTAAATGCTTTACTTCGCTTTTTAGATTAAAAGAAAAATAAAGAAGTCGGAGCGAGCTTAATTGCTTCGCTTTTACATAAAACAGCTCCGCTCCGGCCTTCCCGCGCTATGCGCGTGACCTACAAGCATACTTGTCAACCCTCCCGATTTGCCCTCTCCCGGTTTCCTTCCGGGGTCATATTTCTCCCGATTTCTGACAAAATCAGATTTACTCAGGACTGTTTCCACTCGGACTTTAATACAGCTACACCATTGTTTGGTTTCCATGGTAACACGTCTCTTTAGTAGCGCGCGCAACTGAAAGTCTGAGAGGGTGAGGCAGATAGTCACAGAAAACAGAACAACAATCGACAACTACTCTACTCTCTGCTCACTCCTTTCCTGTAAAATACAGGTCCAGC